CCAGGGACACGTTCCAGCTCCACGTCCCCTGTGAAATCAGGGACCTGGGCCGGATTGTGGCAAGCCAGGGTGGAGAGGGAGGACTTGCTCCTTCAGAATCATCCCTTGTTGTCCAGCCCCACTGCCCTTGGGCCAGGCTGTGCCCTCATGCCCAGGACCAGTCACTGAGGTGAGGAAGTCGCTTCCATCCACCATAGCCGGAGTTTTGTCGCAGAGTTCAGCGGTTGCAGCTCGTTTTGTGGAAAGCTCCGTATGTGGTTGACCAAGTGGCCTGGCCCAGCCTAGAGCATCTGAGCAGCCTCAGAGCAGAGGGCTTCTTCTAAGGGCTGTGGGTTCAACCGGGCTCCTAATGCACCGGTGATAGTCCCACAAGGGCTTCGTGACCTGCCCCTGGGTGTCAGCCCTCAGCAGGGATGGGGTGACCCAGCCCAGCCCCTTGCACAGTGGGGTTTGTCTCTCCCCAAGCGTGGGGCTCTGGGGCCCGAGGGGGACTAGGTGTACTGCAGGGGGTAGGCCTGCCAGCTGCCAAGTGACGTCCACCTGCTCTGTCTCCAGACGCCCGGGACTCCATTGCCAAGGTGGCATATGGTCGTGTGTTTGGCTGGATCGTCTGCAAAATAAATGAGCTGCTGGCCGAAAGTGTGGACCCTGATGTAGAGCTGAGGGAAATCGGTGAGTCCTAGCTGTGCCATGGCCCGGGACTGAGAGCAGGCAGGGTTTGGGGTCTTGCTGGGTCTGCAGCTGGCTCGTGAGTTGAGGGCACGATGATCTTGGTGCTAGCGGTGTGTGAGGGAGAGGGGTGCAAGGCAGTGACGTCATGGGGCAGAGAGACGGGAGGCAGGTCCCTGGCTGCAGGTGTCTGCGGTAGGGTTGGGGTTCATGGGGGCTTGGCCCCAGGGCCGTGGCAGGGGCTAAGCCGAGGCTGGTCTCCATCACTATCCCCATCCTCCCCAGGGATTCTGGACATCTTTGGGTTTGAGAACTTTGTGGTAAATCGCTTCGAGCAGCTTTGCATCAACCTGGCCAATGAGCAGCTGCAGCACTTCTTCAACCATGTAAGTCTGGAGAGGGGCACAGCAGGGATCTCACTTGTGGCTCTGGTGGGGAGGGGCAGTGACCTTGTCTGGGGGGGAACCTTGCTTTGCCTTGGGGCCAGGCACAATGACCACGTCTCACTCCTCCACGGCTCTACTGGGGTCACCCCTGATGAGGGCCAGCACCAGGCAGCCACACTCGGGGTTAGCAGGAACAGTCACTCTGATGTCCAGGGGTGGCGGGGAGAGGGGAAGTTGCCAGGTTGAAGTCTGCTCTTGCTGCTGGGAGCTCTGACCTGCCCCTTACCCCTCAGCACATCTTCCAGCTGGAGCAGGCCGCCTACCGGGAGGAGGAGCTGCCCTGGGAGACCATAGCCTTCACAAACAACCAGCCCATCCTGGTGAGTGACCCAAGCTGGGCTGGGCACAGGGAGGCCCCAGAAGCTGCAGAAGGAGGCCTCTTGCCACAGCTCTGTGCTGAGTGCTGCCCTGGGGGCAGGCTCTCCATGCATGCAGGGGCAGGGGCAGGGATGGGAGCAGGCGGTCGGGTTTGCTAAGGGCCTCATGTCTTTGCTTCCCACGCTGCAGGACCTGCTCCTGGCCAAGCCACTGGGGCTACTCTCCCTCCTGGACGAACAGAGCAGATTCCCGCAGGTACAACCCAGGGCCTGGAGGCAAGCGGGGTCAGAAGGGATGTGGCACAGGCTGCTCCAGAGTAGTAGTTCTCAAACTTTTTTGTACCAGGACACATTTGTAATCATCAGTGGCCAGTACTGACTCAGTGCCCGTCACTCCCAGCCTCATGCCCCAAGTGCGTGGAGCAGGGCGTGGGTGTATGGGGAATGGAGGGGCCCAACAAGCCCCTCACAGGCTGGAACTCTGCCAGCCTGCAAGGGAAAAGCCACATTTTTATCCTTTAAAGGAGAATCCATTTTAAAAGTTTGTTCACGACCCTTTTGTAGCGGGCCAGTAGGGGTCGCTCCTGCGTTGAGCCGCCCACCTCCCTGCGCCCGCTGCCACCATCCAAGGCTCTGGACTCACTTCTGGCTCTGTGCACCTTGGAGAACACAGGCCTGATCGTCCAATGGGTGCTAGACCCAATACAAGCACTTGGGGCACTTCCCAAGTCAGGGGCTGATTAGGAAGCCTCCCTTAGTCCACCGACCTAAGGGGCCTCCTTGGCATAATTTAGTCCCACCCCTCAATAAGTCTCCACACCGGTCACAAAGGAGAACTTTATTGATTACAGGGGTAGGGCGGAGACAGGGTAAAAGGTAGAGCAATATCATAGAAATCTTACAGGAATATCAAAGGAATCCCATAGAGCAAACCAGGGTGGCTGAGGTAGCCGTTTCAACACGCATCTGAGTTACTGAAGCTAAATATCTGATCGGATCTCTAGTAGCTTACTCACTCGCATCGTCCAGAGGTGCTTGTTGTTTCCTCTGGAGGCAGGGCACTCTTGGAGCATGCCGTGATGAGGAGAGAGCCAGGTTCGGATTCACCTGGATGACCGCATGGCTAATGGCTGCCCTTCTTCCTGGCCCCGGCCTTTTTATCACCTCTCTGACCTCAGCAGCCCGGTCCAATCGAAGCTGCCAGTGCTGGCTACAAGACGACCAATTAAAAAAAGCATCCTTGGCTACCTGGGCCTGTGAGCGGGGCTTTTCCCCCCTCCCCAGGTGACCAGAGCATCTGCCTCCGAGGCACCAGGCTTTTGTCATGTAGACAGGGGGGAAGATCCCCCGCCCTGAGGGATTCAACAGCAGCCTCTCACACTGGCAGAGACAGATTTCTGGAGCGGGGCACAGACAGTGGCATTTCTACCACACCTTTCATATATTACAACCCACTTTTGGGTCGCAACCCACGGGCTGGGAAATGCTGGTCCAGAGGACGTCTGAGGGATAACAGTGGCCTTGTCTGCAGAGGGTGTTGGTGCTGGAGAGGGCTGGAAGAGCTGAGAGCTGAGGTGCTGCCACCGGTGACTGGCAGCAATGCTGGAGAGTCAGGCAATCCAACTGCAGACCAGCCAAACAGTGCTCTGCTTGCCCCTGAGTCCCCCAAGCCCTCACCTCCTCTCTTCCAGTGCACGGGGGGGCCTGGGGCTGGGGCTGGGTCTGGGGCCATTCTGTGAAATCTCCTCTGTTGCAGGCGACTGATAAAACCTTTGTGGACAAACTGAACAGCAGTTTCAAAGGGAACGTGCACTTCCAGCTGGTGCGGGGCCGGGTGCCAAGCTTCAGCATCCTCCACTATGCAGGCAAGGTAATTGCTGTTTGCGATGTAGGATGCCACACTCCATCATGTAGGCCAGGGGCTGGCAACGTACAGCCCCAAGCCAGATCCAGCCAGGAAGAGATTGGATTTGGCTTATGAAGGCCACTTGCTCTGAGATGGCACCCCTCCGTGTTGCCATGGCCCCTAGGCGGTCAGGGCCAGGTTTCTGCCCCTGCATCCCCTCCCTGTTCCTCTTCAGGGCCTCTTCTCCTGAAGACTTGTGGGAATACAAGGTTTCCTTCCTGCTGGCCCTGCGGAGGCTGAGGAGGTTCACTTGCTCCTTGAGGGGAAGTGGGGTGGGGTCCTACAGTGGCTGCTTCCTGGCTGTAGCAAGGGAAGAGGGGAGGGAGCCCCACTCCAGCCTAAGGAAAATCGGCATCTTTGCAGGCAAGTCCAAGGCGGTGCATTGACTACTCTTCTGCCCTCCCCAGGGTGCGGCTGGGTGGCTATGCCATAGTGCAAGCCTCCAAGGCCAATGCTGCACTTGGCACCTATAATCACTCTTTGTCTGGGAGCCTGAGACCGTCTCTGGGTGTGTGGGCACTGCTTGCAGCTGCCTGTGAGGAAGGTGTGCAAGCATTCAAAGGAAGGGAGAGAAGTGACTGCGACCTCACTAGAGTCCTACAAGATGTGTGGCCACAGGCACATTGCATGACTCACCCTCCCCCAGCCTGTGATGCCCTGAAGCTCTGTTGTTGTGTTTGCACTGTGGGGGGACGGGGCAGTTACAATCCTTGCATGTGTATGTGCAAATGCATATGCAAAGTGGAGGCCGCACCCAAGTCCTGGGATGCTGCCCATGTGGCTTGTGGCCCCACGTTGTGCCTGTTGCTACCTCACTGCACGGTTGCTCAGGTGGTGCTGCTCCTGCAGGTGCAGTATTCTGCCAGCGGCTTCCTGGAGAAGAACCGGGACACCTTGCCAGCCAACATCCGTGGCCTCTTCATCAATAGCATCACCCCGCTGCTGAGTGTGCTGTTCACGGGTGCGTTCCCCTGCGGCGGCAAGCACCCGGGGTGCAGGGTCACCAGGGATCCCTGAGCTCCCAGGCTCTCCTGAGGGTAGGGGGAGGGGATCAGTGGCCCTGGGCTCTGTGAAGCGAGCCAGTGGTAGGAACTATGCTCTGCTCAGGTCCAGCCATGGGTGCTGATGCCAGGATGGTGTTGAGTGTTGCCCCCTCACTGCTCTGCCAGGTCCACCAGCCCTTGGTGCACTCTCTGGTCCCCATGCCACCAGGGCGGGCGCTGGGGGCTATAGCAGCAGCAGTGTCACCCTGGGAAGTTCCTGATTGTCTGGGAGCTCTGGCAGTAAATCTATGAGTGTTCCCTGACAGACTGCTAATGAGGCAGGACCCTGACCCCTGTGTGGGCTGCAGGGAGGGGCCCCAGGGCTGGGAGTCTGTCTGGGAGAGGGGCATGTGGTTTCTCTGGGGAGGAGGTTTTGTGTCTTGCTGCTGCCTGGTTTGCCTAGGTTGAGGGGCCAGGTGGCTGTAGGACTCGATGGTTCCTCTTCCTTCCTTCAGCCACCATCTCCCGGACAGGGACTCTGATGCCTCACATTAAAGCCAAGGTAAGAGCCGCAAGGCCATGGGGCAGTTGATACCCAAGCCTCCTGGGTCCAGTTCCCCTGTGTCTGTGATCTGAGGGACACGGGGTGGGGGGAGTGGCTCTGTGTGTTGGACCACCTCCCCAGTGGAAGTGGCTGTCCCAGGAGCTGGGGAATCTCCCTCCTGGAGCAGAGCTGCGGGCACCAGTCTGGGATGGTTAGGGGCAGCCCATGTTGTTTCTTTGCTGGGCTGAGCAGGAGATCCTGGGGGTCCTATCCCTGAATCTCTGCTCCTCTCTATGTGACACGGCTCCCCTCCCCTGGCCTCCCCTGACAGTTGCATGCTCGCTTCATGTCCTGTGACATCCACCTGTTGCTCTCTTCCCTGGAAGCCCCCAGACATGCCCCATGGGTGATGCAGGGCTTAGGGGTAACATGGGAACATCTGTGTCTGGTTCCAGGTGCCTCTGGGAGCAGGCGACAACTTCAACAACACAAGGAAGCAGTCGGTGGGAGCCCAGTTCCGGGTATGATGCACCTGCTTCACAGTACGGGACCCATAAGAGGCAGGGAAACCCTGGAAAGGCCTCCAGGAGCCCCAGTCCAGGCCAAAGCTCCTGGCAGAGAATGCCCAAGCTGCAAGCCCAGGATGTTGTGTGGTGAAGTATCCTGGTCACCACTGTGGGGAGGGAGGTGGCACTGCTGCAGCCCAGCGAGCGCTGCAGGGAGGGAGGTGGCACTGAGAGGACCCAGGCATCTGGGACGTGCTGGTAGTCACTCCTCAGCCTGGAGTGACACCTGTCTCTCCCCCTGCAGCACTCACTGTCTGTGCTCATGGAGCGCGTGTACTCTGCCACCCCCCACTTTGTGCGCTGTGTCAAGCCCAACAGCCGGAAGGAGCCAGGTGTGGCTGACAGCCAGGTGCTGCTGCAGCAGGTGAGGGTAGGGCCATTTCACTGCAAGGCAGGGTAGGGCAGAGTGGGGATTGGGCCTGGAGCAGGCCAGACTCCCGGTGGGGAGGGGAAGAAACCAGCTGGCTGGGCAGCAGGGATATCGGATGCTGGTTGGAGCAGGGAAGCTCTCGACAAGCTTCCAGTGCTTGACAATCCCCAAGTGTGAAGCCCAGGGTTCATGACCCCTGAGCACAGGAAGGGGGAGACCTGCCTTGCTGAGCACAAGTTCACACCCATAGCCCCTCATGCCCTGTCGTGTGCCCTGGTGCATAAGTCCTGGGGACGCAGCTCCCAGGCCAAGGCTGTGGGTTGCCTGTTGGGTTGGTTATGTGGGGCAGGCTGGGGTAGTTGCATCAAAGAAGGACACAGTGATACAGCAAGAGTGGGGTTGTGTAGCCAAGGGGAATGTGCAGGGACTGCATTGGGGAGCAGCAGCTGTGCTGGGGCCTGGGGTGGGTGCTAGAAAGTGGCAGGGCAAAAGCCTCTGGCACAGTACCTTGGCTACAGCTGCATTAAGCCCTGGGGAGGTGCACTGGGCATAGGGTGAAGGGTCCCCCCAGGCACTGCACTGAGGAGGCCATTCCTGGGCCACACAGCCCAGTCTGGTGACTGCATGTCTGAGAGGAAACTGTAGAAGTTCAAGACAGTTTAGAGAAAAGTAGCATAACACTTCTAGGCCTGGAGCCTGCCCTGGCCGGGGTGGTCAGGAAGCCCTATCTGTTCCTTTTATACAAGATGAGGTTCAGAGGTGACTGGTCCCCATCTCAGGGCACCTGGACGAGCAGCAGATCTGAAGGCTGAGGATTCTTGGTCTGATGGGCAGAGGCCTAACAAGCTGTGGCTGGGAGCAGCCACTAGAGAAGCTCCAGCTGGAAACCCGAGCTTCACCTGAGGGTGGGCTGTGTTGGGTTCTCAACCTCCCACCTCTTCCAAAGTGATGCACCCAGAACAGCCGGACACTGTCACACCAGAGATGCTGCATTGTGCAGAGCGATGCTCCAGCCTGGGCCCTGCAGGAGCCCAGACCTGGTCATAGCCCACTGGGGCTTGGCCCCGTGGGTCTCTGACCCATGCTGTGCTCTTCCCCAGCTCAGGTACAATGGGCTGCTGGAGACCATCCGCATCCGGCGAGAGGGCTTCTCCTGGCGACCGTCCTTTGAAGAATTTGTACAAAAGTGCGTTGGTGCCATGGGGGAGGGAAATGATCCTTGTTCTGAGCATGGAGGCGGGGGGGGCGGGACACAGATTCACCACCCTCCTTGCTGTGCTACTGAATCAGCCCTGGGAGTCAGGGGTTTGCATCTCACAGGATTGTTTCTGGCAGGTACCGAATCCTCCTGATCAAGCCGGATGCTGATCTTTCGAAGGAGAGGTAAGGACTCGGCTCTTACCTGCAGGTCACCAACAGGACTGGGGCTTTCTGAAGCATGAGCCTTGCCAAATGGACTTTGCTGCGTTGTGCTGCTGGGTGGCCTGTGGTAGGGGAACTGGGTAGGAAGGACTGGGTGGAGGGGTCTGGCGCAAGAGTCAGAAGACCTGGTTACTTTGAGAGAAAAGGGCAGCAGGGCAGAGCCTGCAGTTGGAGGCAGGTAGCGGAGAAAGGGTTAGCTACAGGGCAATAAGCAGCCAAGTGGAGGGACTGTAGTGCTGCGGCTAATTGCTTGAGAGCTAGCCACACAGCTATAGGCCCACAGGATAGAGCCTCAGGCAGGTGAGGGAAGCAACTGCAGCCCCATTGGGCAAGCAGCAGCAAATGAGACAGATTACCCACTGGGCCTGGGGAAATGCACCTGTGGCCTTGGGAAGGCACTGCCTGGAAGGGTGGAGCTCGGGATATAAGCCCTGGCTCCTGTGTCAAAGGAAACAGAAGGTCCAGGCTTTGGGAAAGAGGAGCTCCTGCCAGCCCAGGCCATCAGGGAGAAGAAGCTGCAGGCTGGGAAAGGTAACCTAGGGTGGTGGGTCTCAATCTTGTTGAATTCAAGGCACTCCTCAGCAGACTGGAGATGTTCAAGATGAGCTTGTACAGCCGCTGATTAAGGATGATCTAGGTGTAGCAATGCCTGCGCTCTGCTAGGGGGATTTCCTAGGCTTCTGGGCTGTGCTAGTTGCCCCCCACCCCCTTTCTGCTCCATGTGTCAGGGGGCTTTTCAGTCTCCCCCAGAGGCGCTGGTGCTGCTGCATTCCAGGCTGGGGATGGGGACTGGGCTGTGCCAATGCTCCTGCTGGCACCAACCCTGCAAGGTCCTGGCTAGAGGGTCTTGCCTCTGTGCTCAGGCACAGACCGATGCTGCACTGGGGCAGGAAAAAAATGTTCCCTTTGGTCAGACTTGTCTGGACTGGGGGTGGGGGGGCTGCCTTCCCCTTCAGCCTGTGCCTGGGATGTCTTGAGTATATATTAACCTCTTACAGAAGCAGGATGTTGGCTGCTGTGGCCCCCTACTTTACCTGTGGCAGGTTAGAGTGTTAGGTCTGGGCTGTGTCAGGGTGATTCATTTTGCTCAGAGGTTGGACAGTGAGTTTGGGCGATTTGGACAGGGCTGATCCTGCCTTAGGAGGTCTCTGCCAGCCCCACATCTCTCCCGATTCTATGAATAGAGCAGTTCTATTGCAAAGAACTCAGGAAGACTGCAACAGGACAGAATGGTTTTAACTCTCTGAATTCCTATTGAAATGTTTGGGTTTATCTTGTGAATCATGTTGGCACACCTGGCAGTGCCAATATTGTGTAGTACCCCATGGCACCCTTGAAAGAGTCTCAAGATCCTCTCCTGGTTGACAATAGCTTCCCTAGAGGCTGGGAGGGGGCCAATGGATTTGGATGAGGTTTTGCAGTGAAGTAGCAATGCAGACTGGGGTTTAAGTATTTTAACTGGAAGCCATTTGCTGATGTTTGTGCATGGCTTGGAGGCCACACAGCAGGGTGCCTGGGGCACTCCCTGCCTTGAGCCCTGCCCTGGGAACTAAGGCTGTGTGAAGCTTCACCAGCTGTTTTGTTTTGACTTGTTTTGAGCTCAAAACAGTGAAACTGAAATGAAATGGAGGGCTTCGAAACAGCCCCAAAATGAAATGAGGGCAGTTGAAACGCTTTGAAAGTTTCAAAACGTTTCAAGTTTTGAAGCTGAAGCTGGGCTTTCCTGCAGGGAAACAGAAAGTAAGGAGAGGGAAGGGGAAGAGAGGGGAAGGACTGCTCTCATATTAACTGTGTAGCTGGCCAGTGACTGTGATCATTCCCTGAGGTCCCTTCCAATCCTAATGCTCTGGGGGAGGGATGGAAAAACAGCATACAAGGCAGCATTGTTTGAACTGGCCTGCTTTCCGCCTTGGGGTCAGTTATTGAGCTATTTTCCAGCAGCTCAGCAGTGTCAGACGACAAAGGCTACCATTCATTTCCTGCTTGCTAGCCTAGCAAGAGGGATTTTGGAATATCTTTTTCTTTCTTCTACACGCTTTTATTTTATTATTCTATTCATTGATTTATTCTTTTCAATTTTATAATTCTATTGGATAGGATTACACTATAGAATTTAATTTATATAGGAAGGGAAATACATTTATATTTTATTTCTATACATTTAAAGCTTGCAGCATACATACATCATTATAGAATGTATATAGAAAGGGAGGTGCATTTGTTTTCTATACATACCTTGCAGCACACACACATACATTGTCAAATTTATATAGGAAGAGAGATATACTGTATTTGTTTTTATACCTTTATAGTTTGCACCACACATACATTATAGAATTTATATAGGAAGGAAGTCATATTTATATTTGTTTTTATACATTTATAGTTTCTTTGCACCCACACACACTATTGAATTTATATAGGAAGCAAGACACATTATATTTGGTTTTATACGTTTATAGTTTCTTCTTTGCACCCACCCACACACACACTATTGAATTTATACAGGAATGTGAATACATTTATATATTTGTAGAAAAGCAAGACATGAAAGCCACCATGAAGCGTGGTGGAAAGGCAGGTGGTGGCAAGACTTCAGGGAGGAGCGGAAGAGGGGGTTGAGGGAGAGGTGTAAATTTGCCACCCTCCAAACTGAGTCGCAGCCTCTTTCCTCCAGGTAGAAGGGATGAGGCTTCCACAAACAGCAAGGAGAGGGTAGCAGTGCCAGTGCCACTGCCTGTGCCTGAGACTGCATCCCCTCCATGAGCACCAGCCATAGCCCCCCCCACCCATGACAACAAGAAGCAGCAGCACCAGCATAACAGCTTCCTCCATCCCCATTTTACTTCCCAAGCTGAGCCTTCCAGTACCAGAGGAAGAGCTAGAGCTGGATCTGGATCTCAGTGCCCTAATAAGGGACATTCTGGGGAAGGAGGCAAAATCATCCAAGTTTGTGCTCCACACCCTTCAAGTTTCCCCTAGAGCCCTTCCTCGAGGTCACCAAGACCATCAGCACTGGCGATACTCTCCTTAGCCAGGTGATCCCCATAGTGAAGGAACTTCAGAGCCAAATGGAGAGCTTCCAGGGCATCAGTGTTCCTGGCTGGGGCAAGCCGCTGTCACCAGACATGCAGGCACTGGTGAGGTGGCTGAAGGAAGACAGGGATTCCCTGTCCTATGCTAGCATGCCATCCACCAGCCAGTCTTCTCCTCCACCACAGGCTCTGCCAATGTGGGCAAAGGGCATGGCTTCCATGGGGGGGGAGCGTCCAGAGGCACCAGATCCCACCATCAGGCAGGTAGTGCTCAGGTCTTGGTGGCTGCCTATGTCACCGAGGACGTGAAGCCACTGCTGTGCGACCCCTTGGCCTACTGGGCAAGCTGTGGCCGGATCTGGCCGTGGTTGCGTACGAAAATCTGTTCTGTCCACCAACCAGTGTGCCAAGCGAGAGGGTGTTCAGCATTGCTGGGGATGTTGTGACACCCCACCGTACCTGCTTGGATCCTGGTTTGGTAGAGCAGCTGGTGTTCCTCAAGGTGAACCTCCCACTGCTGAGGTTCCCCAAGCTCCAGGTGCAGATGGAGTGAATGCCACCCTCTTCACTCCATCGTACCTATTTCCTTTTTAAAATTTTTTTAAAACCATTTAATGCCCCAGTCTCAGAGCTGGAGAGGGCACTCACTGCATCATCAGCCAGCAGGGGAAGAACACGTCCTGCTGAGGTCCTGGCTGGGGGAAGCCCATGTCACATCTTTGACAGGCCTGAGGCTTGCTGGTTGCAGTGGAGTTGTGAGGCTCTCAGCTTAGTTGCCTGGGATGCCAGCTTTCGGGTTGAAAAACCCTTCGTTAGGCTGTGTATGCACATTCAGTTGGTGTGTCTGCTGGTCATGGATGGAAGGAATAGTAAAGAAGCCAGAGGCTGGCATGGCACTGGCTATGGGGTAGGACCCAGAGAGTTCTCGTGAACAGATCCATGTCATCCTGGTGTGAAGTGGCCAGTGGTGTCCCTCAGGTGTCCGTGCTTGGACCAGTGTTTTGCAACATCTTTATCAATGATTTGGATGGGGGAATGAAAAGCTTGCTGGCCAAGTTCACGGACGACACCAAGTTATGGGGCAGTGTGGTCACACCAGAAGATAGGTTGCAGTTACAGGTGGACCTGGACAGACTTGAGAATTGGGCAGACCAGAGCCAGATGAAGTTTAACACTTCCAAGTGTAAGGTGCTCCATCTGGGGGCAAACAACCCTCAACATACATACACACAGGCTCGGTGGTGACAGCTAGCCTTGCACCATGGCCAAAAGGAACCTAGGGGTAATTCATAGATTCTTAGACATTAGGGCTGGAAGGGACCTCGAAAGATCATCGAGTCCAGCCCCCCGCCCCAGGGGCAGGAAGTCAGCTGGGGTCATAGGATCCCAGCAAGATAAACATCCAAGTGTCTTTTGGAGTTGTTCAAAGTAGGTGCTTGAACCGCCTCCGGCAGCAGTCTATTCCAAACCTTTGGGGCTTGGACAGTAAAGAAGTTCTTCCTTATGTCCAGCCTGAAATGGTCATGGAGGAGTTCGTGAGTGTTTGACCTCGTCATCCCTTGCGGCGCTCTGGTGAACAAACGATCCCCCAGATCCTGGTGAGCACCCCTTATAAACTTATAGGTGGCCACCAGATCACCCCTGAGCCTGCGCTTTTCCAAGCTGAAGGGTCCCATAGCTCTCAGTCTGTCATCGTAAGGTCTGTTTTCCTGACCGCTGATCACGCGCGTGGCTCTTCTCTGGACTCTCTCAAGCTTCTCCACATCCTTTTTGAATGGTGGAGCCCAAAACTGGACGCAGTACTCCAGCTGCGGCCTCACTAAGGCCGAGTACAAGGGGAGAATGATGTCCTGGGATTTGCTTGAGAAGCATCGATGGATGCAATCCAGTGTTTTGCTCACTTTACTAGCTACAGCATCACATTGAAGGCTCACGTTCATCTTGTGGTCATTCATGACTGCCGTCAAGGTTGCTACCCAGCAGACCCCTGCGGAGCCTATAAGGATGCTGCAGGTTTTTCCTCCCAAGGTGAAGAACTTTGCATTTTTCGGTGTTAAACACCATCAGGTCCTCGTCTGCCCATTTCCTGCGCCTGTCAAGGTCAGCCTGGATCACCCTCCTGTCCTCAGGTGTGGACGCTTTACCCCAGAGTTTGGTGTCATCAGCAAACTTGGCCAAGCCGCTTCTGACACCAATGTCTACATCATTAATGAAGATGTTAAATAGTATAGGCCCTAGGACAGAACCTCAAGGGACCCCACTGGTGTCAGCGCACCACGATGATTGACTTCCATCAATCGCCACCCTCTGGGTCCGACCACGGAGCCAATTCCCCAGCCAGCGGGTCGTGGCGAGGCTGAGGCCGTAGTTAGCCAGTTTTGCCAAGAGGTGATCATGGGATACCAGATCAAAGGCTTTTTTAAAGTCAAGATTTATGATATCAAACTCTTCTCCCTTGTCCAGGTGATAGGTCACCTGGTCGTAAAAGGAAATAAGACTGGTCAAGCAAAACCTACCCGCAACAAACCCATGCTGGCTATTCCTCAGGATGTTGCCGTCAGCCAGTCTGTTAAGAATGGCCTCTTTGATCATCTTTTCCAAGATCTTCCCTGGGATAGAGGCCAGGCTGATGGGCCTGTAGTTTGCCAGATTCACTTTCCTCCCTTTCTTGAAGATAGGCACCACACAGGCCTTCTTCCAGTCGTCGGGCACTACACCAGAGCGCCAGGAGCTCTCAAAGATCCGTGCCGGGGGCTGAGCTATGATGCTCGCCAGCTCCTTGAGTACCCTGGGGTGTAAACTGTCCGGGACGGCTGACTTGAAGGTGAGCAGCCGCTCAAGGTGTTCCTTCACGAGGTCAGAATTGATGGAGGGTAAGGAATCTCCCTTGCCCAGGCCTCTCTGTCCTGTAATGGGCAGGGCGCCCCATGGAATTGGTGAAAAACTGACGCAAAGTACCCATTGTAACCCATTGAAAAACGGACGCAAAGTAATAATTGACCATCGCGTGAATATGAGCTGTCAGTACGAGGTGGTAGTCAGCAGGGCAAATACACTGGCATGCATCAACCGATGCATCTCTTGTAAATCTAAGGAAGTGATACTTCCGCTGTACTCAGCACTGGTGAGACTGCAGTTGGAGTACTGCATCCAGTTCTGGGTGCCACACTTTAAAGTGGATGTGCAAAAACTTGAGCGGGTCCAAAAAAGAGTATGATCAGGGACTTGCAAGGCAAGCCATATGAGGAAAGGATGAAGGACCGGGGCCTCTTTAGCCTAAAGAAGAGAAGGTTGAGAGAGGACTTGATAGTGGTGTACTGCTATATCAGAGGAGTGCATTAGGAGCTCAGTGTACAACTTCACTAGGGCACCCTCAGGGAAGATCAGGACCAATGGATGCAAACTCCTGGAAGGCTGCTTCAGGCTTAATACCAGGAAAAACTCCTTCGCAGTCAGGGTGTCCAGAGTGTGGAATAAACTCCCTCCAGAGGTGGTGCAGTCACCTGCCCTGGAGGTTTTCAAGAGGAGACTGGACAGTCACCTTGCGTCCCTTGGCTGGGGTCCCCTACCCCCAGTTGTCTTCCTGCCTAGAGCAGGGGGGTTGGACCCAATGATCCAGCCCCTAACAATCTATGAATCTAGCTATAAAAACACAACATAACCCATCACACACCACAAGTAACACATAATTTATATATCCAAAACAACATCTCTATTTCTTCCATTCAATTCTTTTATAAAAAGAAAGGCTCTCTGATAGTTTGGCTGCCTGAGATGCTGCTGCTCACAAAGTCATTATTTTATTTTACCTGTTGTCATTTAAACTGGTGGACTGAACTGAGGCTGTAGGGGAGGAGGAGACCTCATTGGAGCACGCTACCGTGTCGTGTAGATGCCCCGGCGCCAGTGGGGGCACGCCGTCTCTGTCTCTCTCTCTCGGTATGCCTTAAGACGCATGCTGGAAAAGAAGCTCCTGCAGGAGAGGAAAGAAAGACTCTGTCACAGTTTGGCTGCCTGAAATGCTACTGGTGCTACTGTGCTAGTGCTCACTAAGTTATTTTATACCTGTTGTCATTTAAAGTGGTGGACCGGGACGAGGCTGTAGGGGAGGAGACCTCATTAGGGCACACTACCATGTCATGTAGATATCCCAGTGCCAGTGAAGGTGCACCTTAACATAGACACAGTCACCCATGTCATGCATTTTGCCTGTCAGCAGCTTGAGGTGCAGTTTCCCAGAAACCCCTGCACCTGCCTCCTTGACACTTGGCAGGCTTCATGGCTTCAAAGGGGGCTATCATCCCTGCAAGTTTCATCTGAATCCGGCAAGAAATGTCAAAGTGATAGGCAGTTTCGTGCTTCCCCATTATAGTCTATGGACGAAATGCTGAAACAGCGTCGAAACAGTTTCAACAATACGAAATGGAACAGCGGTTTCAAAACTAAACGCAACTTGAAACAAAGCGCTGTTCTGTTGAAATGGAACGGTGCTATTTCGCGCAGCCCTGCTGGGAACCTTCCAGGCCGATGAGTGGAAGGGAAAAAATCCCCAGCAGAAGCGCTGTGGGTTTGGGAGGAGGAATGGGACGTGTTAGTGTCTCCAGGCCAGGGCCCTTGGTGACAAGTGACTGTGTAGCCCCTGTTCAGTGTGTCCTGCCATTTAGGAAGCAGCATAGAGGGGTGAGGGGTGCCCCTCCCATCCTGGTGGTGCCTCTTCAGGGCCAGGGGCTGTTTTCACTGCACTGGCTGGAAATGGGCTTTTCACCGTTTTCTCTTCCTTTCTCAGCTGTTTAGAAATTTTGCAGAGCACGGAGCTGGCAGGCTGGAAGTGTGGGTAGGTATGAGGCTGCGTCCCTGAGGCAGGGCTGGGCTGACCTGACCCTGGCAGGGCTGGTGTTGGAATTCAAATGACCCAGTGAGTAATTCAACTAAAATACCATTATTAAATCCAGAGGTCAATAGTTGTACAGTTACTTTAAACAAACGCTTTAAAATACTGTAACAAAATGCTAAGTGTAGAGTAGATAGCAGTGATACAGTACTTATTAATGACCCACACCCATGTAGTAATTACAGTTCCAAGCAGTTGATCACAATGCTTACAACTGAGCTAGCAAGAGAGATTGCAGCTGTCCCACGCTGGCTGGCTCCAGAATATCAGCTCACACTAGCAAAGAATCCATCTTTCCTGCCTCTCTCTCATACCACCCCAGATTTCTCATTACATCACCCTCCTCTGAGTGCTAGAAATGGGTCAGAACCAGCCTAAGCTTTTGGCAGACTAATCTTGTCATTCCCTATGCACAAAACCTTCCTTCTTCCATTGTTGATTCCTCCCTAGACCTCCTGGAGACAACGTCGCTGACACTGTGGCCTACCAATGTCCTTCCTATTGTTCACCCACCTTTTCTCCTGCTTTAGCACATCTCTGGCTTATCACACTTTGTCCTGCCTTCATTAGCATGTTGAGTGTGCATGTCCCAAATCACAGGTTCCTGAAATGATCCTGCTTGCACCCAATCTAGCAAAACATTCCCCCTCCTGTTGCATAACTACAGTGCAGACCATGATTCCTGCAGTGGGGCTGCAGCATGGGAGTGAGGGTGGCCAGGTCCCCACAGGCAGAAACCCTATGTGTCCCAGGGCACACTATGGGGATGAGACAATTGCGGGTGCTGGGATGGGCCATGCCTCACCCTATTGTCTCTCCTCTTGTCCCCTCAGGAAGTCCCGTCTCTTCTTCAAGTACTGGCACCAGGAGCAGTTGGCAAGGAGCGTAGAGCACTTGGAAAAGGCAGCGGTCACCATCCAGAAGAGTGAGTGTGGTGTGTGGGGGCAGAAGGGCCTCATCCTCCTAGAGACCCTGTCAGACCAGGCCCAAGGGGCAGCTCCTCTCCAGTCCTCTTCCACCATGGGGACCCTCCTTAGCACCATAGGCACTGGGGCTGGGAAGCCTGGCCAGGCTCCATCCCTGCTTTCCCACCAGGGCCCCTATGGCATGACAGTGGGACAGGCAGGGATGGGGTGGAGAGGAACAGTTTGAATGTGTGTCTGAGTTGGGAAGATTTGTGAGGGCCTGGGAGGGGCAGGGCGTCGGGTCCACTCCACAGCCAGTTCTTTCGTGCCTGAGGCACGGAGGCACTGACCACAAGCTTCACTCTGGAGCATCAGAAGCACTGAGGTGCTCTGGGCCCAGGTCAAGGTCTGGATCGAGACCTTAAACTTGGCTTGAAATCTGCTGGGAAGCCATTGAGAACTGACAGTGCTGAGTGCCACAGCACCCAGCATGGAGCAGGGATGGGCTCAGCCTTTGCACCCACAGTGCTCCCAGAGTGCTGGTACACCATGCGTGGAGGTGCTGCCACTGCCCAGGAGCGATGGACAGTGCTTCTGACTGCCACGTCTCTCCGGGCAGCCTATAGGGGATTCCGCTGCCGGAGGAGCTACCGAGTACTGGTGGCCGAGCGGACTGCTCAGGCACGGCGGCTGCATGAGGCAGCAGAGAGGGAAAGGAACAGGCAGGTTGAGATGGAGGCCCAGGCTCCTGGTGAGTAGCTCAGGCTTGCCCTTTCCTTCCTGGGGATTGACTGCTTACTCAGAGCTCAGCCTGGCTGCCTTACTCCCTGCCTTCCTTGCCATCCTGTGTGGTGGGGGGAGGAAGGGGGAATCGGCGTCACTGCCTCCTCCAGCCTTAGCCCCAGCTCTCCCCACTTTGGAAATGCAGCCCCCTTCCTAGGGGAACAGTACCTAAGCTGGGAAGGCCACATGCCCTGAGCTGGGATGGGAAAGGTGCCTCCTGGCCCCAGCGCTGTTAACCTCCCTGCCATGGGTGCATGGGGCAGAGACCCCTCTATGTCCTGCACCCTGGCTCCAGTGGGGCAGAGCTGAACCAGCCTCCATGGGGATGGGGGAGCATGGCGTGGAGCCCCTCATCCTGCAGCAGTCCACTCTACTGTGCCCCGGGTGCGATGGGTGGCCCTTATGTGTGCGCTCCCCCCTCAGAGTGATGCAGGCTCTTCTCCAGGGCCCCCATGAGCTATTGGTGCCTTCACCTCCCTGCAGAAACAGCCACCCCACCAGTCCCAGTGCCGCGGAGGAGACGTCTGCAGCCCCTGTCCCGTACTCAGGCTGCTGCTGACCTGCCACTGCAGCCCCCCATCCCACGTCCCCGCAGCAAGCTTACAGAGGTAACACCCTGGCACTGATCAGTGCCATCCCTAGGGAGCTGGGCTGTGCCCTGGCAGAAGGGACATGCGTGCAAGCTTTGCCATGGAGAAGGTAACTAGCTTCCTCCTGGCTCTCATGCCCTGCTCCCCTCTGCTTTCCTGTGCACCAGTCCACTCCCTTTGACAACTTCCTGCACACTGGACCCTGCCCCTCACTGGGGACAGCTGGAGATGAGGCAAAGAAGAGGCAGATCAAGAGGGGAGCAACGTTGCGCTGGTTCCGGGAGACGCAGGCCCGGAAGGTGCTGCAGGACGACGGAGCCTTCCCCAGCTGGCTGCATGGAATGATCAGCAGGAGGTGGGTAGGGGGGCAGCTCCTTGAGAAGTTGGAGGGAGTGGGGCCTTCTTGCCCTGGTCATGAGCTCCTGCCTGTCTCAGCGATGTGCCTGGGACCAGGGCGCATGAGCTGGGCTAGCAGGACAAGGACCACACCCCCGGAAGCAGTGATGCTGGGGATGCCAGGTCCACACTGCAACGCAAGCTAATGCATGGTGAGCAGGGAGGTGACTTGGCCTCTGCAAGCAGCAGTGGCAAGGCTGAGGCTGGTCAGTGCAGCCTCTTTAGGCACCGTCGGGTAAAGGAATCTTGAAGCATTGGTGAGGGGTAAAGGGGAGTCAGGGACAATGATCTTAAGGCTGGAGAGAGAGCCTGAGACAGAGGGACAGGAGCATGTCAGCTGAATGGACCAGGCCTTTATTAGACGGAAGATGGGGGTGTGCCCAGATTACTGTCTGTGTACCTCTATACCTGGTTGTTGTGTGAGGGCTTGTTCCCACAGCACTTGAGAGCAGGTTAGATGCCTGCCTAGGAGGGTTCAGACAGGGTGATCCTGCCCAGTGCAGGGGGCTGGCAAAGTGTGACCTGCTGAGGGCCCTGCAGCCCAGCTGCTCTATGCTTCAAAGCCCAAGGGCTGGAAGCTGAAACCAGATGAGCTCAGATGAGCAGTTGGTGCCTGGTTTCTGGCGGCCAGTGTGGCTTACTCCCTGGAGCCAGATCCCACGGGGACATTGGGAAGCCCTGGAGATGGTTTAGCTCAGGGAGTCTTAGTTGAGGATTGTCGCATCTGGGGTGTGGCAGATCCCGTTAAGGGTGCTGTAGGCACTGCACAACATGTAGGCACCACTGCTAGGTGGACAGACACATGCACGGGATTGGCAGGATAAATCTGAAGATTTCACAGAGGAATCTAGGGCATCACAAGTGCCCTGCCCTGCCCTGGGCTTGTTCTTTGCAGCATAAGACTTGCTCTGTTACTTTGCTGTATTCAGAAGCAAATGGAAGCTCAGAACTGGCATTTTTCGAGGGGGCCTCAAGTCCAAGGAAAGGGGCTTGAGCCCAGAAAGGGGGAGAAAGCACTGCTTTAGCTGAATGTGAGCTATTGGGCTAGTGCGGGAGTAATGGGGGTGTGGGGGATGGGCATTGTGCCCTGGGACACAGGATGGCGGACCACGGTCTCACGAGTCCTTTGGTCTCAGGCACCATGAATCTGTGGTGGCTGCTCTGGGTCTCCGTGGGGGCAGTGGGGTGGGCATCTCCACGTGTTTCCTGTGGATGGAGCAGTCCTCACGGAGAGCCCAGGTTACATGTGGGTTTCAGCGGCTGAGCTCCCTCCCTGGTCTCTGCCCCAGGGTAGGGTTGCTGCTGATGCATGCAGTACCCAACCTGGGGTAGCAGGCAGGCGCTCGCTGCCCTCCGTGGCAGCTCCTCCTCCCACCAGGCCTGCAGCACCCATAGGGAGCGTGGCCTCCCTCAGAGGCCTGTAGGGAGGCAGAGGGGAAGGGGCAGAGCTGGGATATCCCCCAGCACCTGGGCTGAGCAGCTGACCCAGAGCCACCCCCTGACTGCAGCCCCAGACCCTCATCGTGCTCTCAGCCGCCCCTGCCTTGCTGGGGGATGGGGTCACTACTGCACCTCTCTGACGCCAGGGTGGGTGCATGGCAAACCCATGCCTGAGCCAGGCAGATGGATTCCCACATCCCCCCAGACTCACGGAGGATGCCCTGGCTGGAGCAGGGGCCAGGACAGGCAGCTCCAGGGAGCGATAGTGCCCGGGGGCCCTGGCACAGGGCCCCTGCTCAGGGCACTATGTCTCTTGCTTTCAGGGAAGCAGAGAACTTGCTGATGGACAAGCCTCTGGGCTGCTTCCTGGTCCGGATCAGCCAGAGCCGGCCAGGCTACACCCTGACGTATAGGTATGGAGCCTACCCTGGCCCCGCTGCTGGGACTAGGTTGGGGATGGCATTAACGCAGATTCCGCCATGGGCTGAGTGCCATGCCTGGAGACCCTGGTCATGGGTGCTCTGGACACTGCTGGTTGGGGCTCTGGTGGGCTTGGGCACAGTGGGGTCCGTGGGTGTGCGCTGGCATGTACAGCACAGCAGGCAGGGCGGAGGGTGGTGCTGTTTGGGTAGGAAGCAGATGCTGCATCTGGGGCTGCCAGGGGCTTGGCTGGAGGACGGGCAGGAGGTGTCCACCTGAGCATGGGTGCCAGATGGGCCTAGCAGGGCAGAGTTGGGTGCTGGGCGTGGGACAGTGGGGTCTAGTGGGTGGTTACCTGGGTTCCCTTCCATCTCTGCGCTGAGCACCCTTGTGGGTCTAGGTCAGGGGTGGGCAAAATGTGGCCCAGGGCTGGATGTGGCCCACCAGGCCATTCTATCCAGCCTGCAGGGCCCCTAAAAAATTTAGAAAATTAATATTTATCTGCCTGGGGCTGCCTGGCATGCAGCCCGTGATGGCTTGCCAACACTCAGTAAGTGGCCCTCTGCCCAAAAAAATTGCCTGCCCCTGGTCTAGGTTGAGGCCCCTTCCCTGTGGGCCCTGCCCTGTTCCCCCTCCCACACAAGTCGCTTGTGTGCATCTGACTTCACGTCCAGGAGGCCTCAGGGCAGCAGCCTGGCTTCTGGCCAGGGCAGGACTGTAGCGCAGCGCAGCACAGCTGAGGCCTGTCGAGGTTCAGGCCCAGGGTCATGGGTGAGTTAGTTTGTTTATCCATCTGTCCCTGCCTCTGTCCATCCTCCCCAGGGGCACGACCCGCTGCCGCCACTATATGATTGAGGTGCAGCCCAACGCCCGGTACGTCATCCTGGGTGAGGATCGGGCACACGCCTCGCTCACTGATCTGGTCCGGTACCACCGCACTGTGGGCATCCAGCCCTTCTTGGAGACACTGACAGTGCCCTGCGGGCAGGTGGGTGACACCAGGGCAGGCACCTGGGCTATGCCCTATGGGGCAGGTAGGTGGGTGACCCTAGGGCAGGGCAGGTGCCTGGGCTGTGTCCTGCAGGCAGCTGACTTGCCATAGTGACATGTCCCTTGTCTACGAGCTGCTTAGGTGGCCCTGCTCCCCCTGTCCATGGCAGAACGCCAACCACTGGGCATGCCACCGTGGGACTCTGTTGGGGCTTTGCCTGTCCACTGCAGCCCTGGCTGCCTGGGGGCTCTTGACACCCTGGCCCCTAATCGCTGTTAGTGGGAGCCGCCCCCCCGGCAGGGATGATGCATTCCCAGCCCCCATGGCGGTTCTGGCCCTGGAAGCTCTGTGGCCAGAGCCATGGCCCCCGCTGCCCTCCGGGGTCTGCAGGGACTCCGTGGCTGCTGACCTCTGCCTCTGTCCTGAAGGGTGATGGGAGCGCTGACTACGAGGAGCTGTGGTGCCTCACAATAGCCCCAGGCTCCGCGGGCCAGCAGAAGGAGCCCCCTCCTGAAGGGCACCCACCCACTGATGGCCGTGCCATGCCCGTGGGCACTGCTGCCGCCATCCTCAAGCGCATGCAGCTGCAGAAGCCCCGGAGGTGCCAGGAGCCACCACCCAGCATGGAGGACGAGGGGGCCGAACTGTGCCTGGGTGAAGGGGAGCCGGCCCGGCGGGCCATCCCACGCCTCTACCCCTCTATTCGCCTGGCCATGCGGGAGATCTGCCAGGTGAGGAGGTTCATAGATTTCATAGATGTTTAGGTTTGGAAGGGACCTTAGTAGATCATTGAGTCTGACCCCATGCCCTGGGCAGGAAAGAGCGTAGTGGTCAGAGGACCCCAGCCAGGTGCTTGTCCAGTCTCCTCTTAAAGACCCCCAGGGTAGGGGAGAGCACCACCTCCCTTGGAAGCCCGTTCCAGATTCTGGTAACCCTTACTGTGAAGAAGTTCTTCCTGATGTCCAACCTAAATCTGCTCTCTGTCACTTTGTGGCCGTTGTTTCTAGTAACTCCAAGGGATGCGCTGGTAAACAGAATATCTCCTATTCCTTGCTGTCCTCCCCTGACAAATTTGTAGATGCCACTAGACCCCCTCGAAGCCTTCTCTTGCAGAGGCTGAAGAGATCCAGGTCCCTCAATCTCTCCTTGTAGGACCTTACCTGCAGGCCCCTAACCATATGTGTAGCCCTCCTCTGGACCCTCTGAAGGTTTTGCGCATCCATCTTGAAGTGTGGCAAAACTGACTCCTGCAGGGCCTTGGGAAGGAGCAGGGAGGGACTGCAATGCCTGGTCCCTGCCGTTGGTCCCTGACATGGTGTCTCTGCTTGGCCCCGCAGCTCTCGTCCGGGCCCTCCGACAGCACCTGGGCGGAGCTGTTGTCCAGCCCCCAGCACTGAGGGTGGCTGGGCCCTGGCAGGAGCAGAGAGGTAAGAGCTGGGCTGTGTGAAGGCTGCCGGAGCCCCATCCCTCTTCTGCCTCCTCTAGATCAGAGTGGGGACAGAGTAGGGGAGCTGCTGGCCTGACGGCCCTGTGCTCTGTGCCACAGGGACCAGGGATGAGCTGGGGGTGGGCTGGACTGTCAGGAGGTTGGTCCTATCTCTGGAGAGGCAGGGGCCTGCCCAGCCCGAGGAGTCGCGAGGTTGGTCCTAACTGGGGCTGCCGTAAACTCAGCTGTTCTCTCTGGGCCTGGGACCTGCAGCAGGGACACAGCAGTGATGCCCGGAGTCTGGGACCAGCCCGGCTCCACTGCTGCAGCCCCAGGGTGGGTTTCGGGACTCCTCTGTCCTCACAGGCCGCCCGTAGCTAGGTGAGGCTGATTCAGCAATGAGGGGAAGGAGGCAGGCAGGGGGGTCCTGGGCTCTGGCACGTCCCCCAGGCCTGGCTCTGATGCCCTGGGCATGCCATGAGAGGCCCCTGCTGTGCCCCTGGGCCACCCCAATGCAGAGCTCTCCAGGCTGGCTGTGCTGGTGCTCCGTGTGCTGCACCCACGGTGCCTGTCCTGCACCATGTGCACGGCCCTGTGTCAGCTGCCAGGGCTGGGGCCATCAGGTGCAGTCTCTCCACCCTCCCTGAGCCCTACTCCCTGCCTCTCTTACAGGCAGACCCTGCTCAGCCCATGCTCCAGCATTACAGGGCCACATGCCAGGTAGGAACACCAGGAAGATGCAGCCTCTTCTGTGGGGATGGGCCCGTGCCATGCCTCTGATTGAGCCAGGGAGAAGAGCTCTGCGGCCAGGCGGGCCTGCTGCCGTTGGGACGCTGCGTGCATCTGCAATCCATTAGGGAGGAGGAGAGGGCAAGAGCTGAAGGCCTGGGGCAGCCCTGGGGAGGGGAGGGGAGGGAATGTGTGCCCTGCCCCTCCCTGCGCCGGATGTGCCCTCACAATTAGAGCCCTCGTTGTCAGCCCTTGCCCTCCTTGTCCTGTCTGTGCCTCGTTGGGGCGGGTGTGGGATGAAGCAGGGCGTGCCCCGTGTCCCCTGAGGCAGGGTCCGAGGGGCTGGGCAGCTCCCCCGCACTCCATCTGCTGACGGTGACAAGACTCTGTGACTCAGCTGCTCTCTGCCCGTGGGGACCGTGGGGTACTCGGGGCTGCCTGAGACCAGAGCCTGTGCAGCAGCAGTGATCGATGGCTGGGGCCAAGGGTTGTGCTGGTGGCACTGTGGAGACCGTGTCCTGTTGCTGAGAGGGGCCAGGCTTGTGCGAGGCCAGGCTCTCTGCACGCCATTGTGGGGCTGGAGCCCACAGCCACGGCCAAGCTGCCCTTCTGGTTCCTGGCGGGGCCATGGCTGCTCCTGCAAGTACTGCTGTTCCCTGTGGCCACTGTCCTGGCCCGTGGCTCTTGGGCCCTGGAGTGACCACTCTCATCCCAGCTGCTAAGAGGCTGCTGGTCACTTTGGGGGAAAACAAAAACCCAGCCATGGCAGCAGAGAGCGCAACCCAAGCCCCAGGGCTTTGACTACTTTGGGCTACTGAAACACTGGGCAGTGGCAGCAGCAAAAGCACCGTGCGCTTGAGCCAGAGCTAGCGATGCCCAGGGAGCTTGTGCCGCTCCCCCGGGGCAGCGAGCATCAGGCAGGCGGCTCCGCTCCCTACCCAAGTGGTTCCTACTGACCCAGCTCTGGCTTTGTGCCCTCAGACTTATGGGGACACCTGCGGCCCCTTGTTCTCTGGGCAGGGTCTTGTGTGGCATCACAGATGCACCCAGAGGAGTGAGGACAGTGAGCACGATGGCTCCTGTCTACCCAGGTCCCGGAGCAGGAGGCCAGGGCTTAAGCAGGGTGGAGGCAGCCTGCGGAGGAATCCAGCTCCAGGCCCTCCTCGCCCTGGGGCTGGTCTGTTTCCGTGTCTGGCACTCCGGTCGGTCGCTCGATCGGTGCGTTGCTAAGCAGACAGCTCTGCCTACGTGCCCCAGGACAGGTGAGAAGTGAAAGCTCCCTGTTGCCTTACCACCCTGACCTCGGGGCATGGGGCAGGGGCAGGGGCCAGAGCCTCTCACTCCACCAGGTAGCGATGATGCTTTTCAAATGGATTGGCCATCGTCCAATAACACTTGCCCCTGATTGGATCCAGGGGATGATGTCAAAGACCTTACTTAAGGGCCCCTTCTTCCTGGAAGGGGAAACCACATTAGGGAACATGGGGTCAGCACCCTACCTCTGGAGGTTTCTAGGCTCCAGATGAACTTGTGAGTAACTTACCTGAAACGAATCTAGAAATACAGCTTACTGTGATGTAGACGTGTGTCAACCAGCTAATAAGCTGACACGGTTTGCTCTGGATTATTCTTGGATACTTCTCTATCCTGTACCCTTCCCCAAGCCTGCCCTCTTTAACCAACAAAGCTCTCCACTAGAACAAGCGTGGGGACCTTGCTGGGAGAGGGGTTGGGCACGCCTTTTCTAGTCCCTATGCTCGGCTGACCAAGGGAAGCTACTTCTTGTGCATCCAGGAAGAGCACACACCAACTGCTGCAGCTTCCTGAGCCTGACGAAGGGTTTTTGAACCCGAAAGCTTGCTTAATAACTATTCTCCAGCCATTTGGGTTGGTCTAATAAAAGATATCAAATTCACCCAAGGAACCTTGTCTGCCTCAGGCTACAGGAAGCACCTCAAGTTCTTGCAGTGGGTCAAGCACCCTCAAGGTCTACCAGGCCTGTGTACCCGGGGCACAGGGCCCTGAGACAGTCCAGACCCCGGGTGATGGCAGCGGTTGCCCCAGGCTTGCGGTGTGCTCCAGGAAGGGGTGTGAGGGGCCGCGGGGAGGCAGGCACTGGGAGCCTGGTAGGTGGTGGGGTGCAGGGAGGTGGGTGGCTCAGCACAAGTGCTCCCTACTGGCCTGGGGAGCCCTACAATCCTCGCTCGTCCCTTGCGCAGCCTCCGTGGGGAAACCTCCCGTGGAGAAGATCCCGTCTCTTCCCTGAGCCAGGGGCAAGGAGGAAGTTTGTCCTGGGGTCTAATCGAAGTCCACTTTGCTGCAGCTGGAAGCTGTTGCTTTGTGCCCTGCCTGTGCAGCGAGGGAGCAGGGTTGTTGTCCTCTCCTTTATGGAGGCCCCTCATGTGTTTGCAGGCTGGGGTGCTGCAGCACCCCTTCTTCATCACCTTTTCTCCAAGCTGAGCATGGCTAGGGCTCTCTGCCATGCCCATACACTTTGCCTCCACACCCCCTTATCATATTTCTTGCCTGCCTCTGGAGCCTCGTTAAGTAACACAGATCCCAGAACCACACCCAGGCCTCTAGATGAGGCCTAACCAGAATGGCACCATCATCTCCCATGCCTTACATCTAATCTTCCTACTGATGCAGCCCAAAATTGTATTTGCTTTGTCCCACCTGCACCATGCTGCAGACACGTGTCACGTCTGTTATTTATAGAAAGCCAGCACCTTCTCCACAGTGCTCCCCACCCCCCCAGCCACTTGTCTCCTGTTCTCTTGCTTTGCTGTCCATGGCTCCTCCCGTGGCTCTGCACCTTGCCTTTCCTTGCTTGAGCTTCATCCCAAAGCCTCTGCCCAGGCTTTCACTCCGCCACGATCCTTCTGCACTGTGCTCTGGTCCTCCAGCGTATTTCAGTCCTTCCCAGTTTCATGTCGCCTGCAGACTTGAACAAGACCGCTTTCCTGTTGCTCTCCTGTTGCTTTAACCCAGAGCCCAGCCAGGCTTTACCTAACCCCGGCCCATCGGACACCACATGCAGTTCTCCCTGGCTGCCGGCAGGTGGGGGCGGTGCCCAGGCAGTCACAGGTCCCTAAGTGCCCTGGTGCCAGTGCCCAGGCAGGCTGGGGCAGGACTCGGGCAGAGGCTGAGGAGCCAGGCGGGGCTGCGGGGGTGACCAGGCGGGGGCAGCAGCTGATGCAAACAGGACTAGCGCTGGCTCAGGCCGTGCAATGGAACAGGGCTGGCTAGGCCACAGGTTTGGATGTTTGGTGTCTCCCAGCTGTGGAGCCCCTCGCAGCACAGGGTGGGGGAGACCGAGTCCCCACACCAAGGCAGGGCAGGTTTCCTGGCCATGTGTGGGGCAGCCCCATGCAATAGGATGGGCATGGCTGAGCTCATACCCACTCACAGGCAGGAAACCAGGGAAGTGCAGCAGGGAAAGACCCCATCTGCTCCCTGCCCTGCAGCTCCAGGGAAGCCAGTGGCAGAGCTGGCTTCCGCCTGGGAAGGCTAGGATGCACGTCTGAGTCGTCGTTACCCTTGCCCTTGGGCAGCTTGTTGGGCTGGGCTTCCCCGCACCCTGCAGGGCCCTGTCGCTGCCTGCCCTGCCCTGCCCTGCCCCGGCCCGCCCCGCCCTGCCCCGCCCTGCTTGTTAAAGCGGAGTTGCAGCAGTGCCTGGGCTCCCTGCCAGGCCTCCCTGCTGCTCCTTGCAAGGTGCACCTGGGCCTGGCCTGGCGCCTCCAGTGCAGCCTTGGGGATAGCTGGCCTGGGCTGTGTTGGGCAGTGCCACCAGAAGGGCCTGAGAGTCCCCTAGTTACCTGGCAGGGGAGATGCTATGATCACTACCACAGTGGAAGGTAGTCTTAGTCCAGATGGTTTTGCTGTATCAAACTCCCTATGAGAGTCTACTAAGCCGCCCATGAGTGGATCTTGGATACACACCTGTGTTATGGAGATGGGGGGATCTCTTCCTAGCTGTCTTTGGCCTTTTGGCTAAGGGCGAGCAACACCAAGACCTCTGAGCTCAGGCCTGCATGTAGGATGCCTTCCATGGATTTGTGAGTGTCTGAAGCCACAGACTGAAGAATCCGGGAGGAAAGATACTTGCCAGTGGTAACACCACATGGACCTAACAACTGAGCTCTGCTCAGGCAATAGAATTTGAAACTGATTTGGCTAATTTGGCTTGAGACATGAAATTAAAAAAATTAAATAAATTCAATTAAAAAAAAAAGAGTTCCCTGCCCTAGGGCCTCCTATGGCTAGGCTGGGCTGCACCCAGTGGCTGTGACCAAGTGGCCTCACTCAGAGCCCCGTGCATGGACTTTGGAGGTCTCAGCTGGATGCAGGTGGGACTACCCTTGGCACTAATGTCTCCCCTTCCCCAGCTCAGCCGGCAAGTGTGACTAGGCCTGGGGCAGTGGTTGAGGGTGGGGTGAAGTGGGGCGAACTGCAGGGCAGGCTGAGTGCAGGGCAGGGGCTGGGCCCTACTGCTCCTCAGCTGCCAGGTCCCAGGGATGCATGATGGAGTACGGTCTGGGGCCATCTGACCATTTCAGCCCTGTCTTAGAGCTCCCTGCTCATGGCTCTCAGAGCCCCCTGCTCAAGTGGTGTTGACTCATAACTGTTCTCTTTCCTGGGCCGTATTGTGCCGTCCCTGACTTTGCTTTGCTTTTCACCCTCTTGACATCACAGCCCCAACCTCCAAGCATGCTTAACCTGCTGCTGCATGACCATCCTGTGCAGCTATGAGCACTGACACAGGGGCAGCTCCTTCCCCTCACAGAGGAAGCCCTGAACCAGAAGCGGGGCTGGCAGCGTGACCAAGCACCAGTGACTCAATGGTGCTGCTTGCATCATCTCTGCTCCCGCCAGCAAGTCACGGCTGGTCCCGGGTAGCACGGAGCCGGAAGGAGGATTTCCCAATGTGCGGAGGGTTACGGAGTTTTAGCAAGCCTGGTGGCTCACTCACCCTCTTGGACGTCAGCCACTCTGCCCCAGAAGCCACCTCATGCTGGGAGAACACGAGCCGGGAGCTGTGGGGCTGGGACCACAGCACCCCTCATTTCTGAGGGCCTCCTGCCTTACCCCCCGCAGCTGCCTGCCCAGCACAGCACATGTTGAAGGGGCCACCAAAAGGGGCTGAGCTCCAGGCTCCATGCCCACTGGCAATGGAGACACAGCATGAGCTCAGACCGAGACACCAAGTTACAAGGAAGGCTGTACAGAAGCAAATTCTTTGACTCAGTTCTTGATGTCAAAGGGGGAAGCTGGTGAAATGAGGAGAGATGATTAGTAAAGCCAGTTAGCAGAGGAGGTCCAGGTTTTTGACCTGGAGTATTGCTAGGTCACAGTAAAGGGGGAGAATTCCTAAGGGAGGTTCCTGACCCCAAGGAAATGAATACCTGCCTCCAAAGAGGACATTAAGATCCCTGGGGAGAAAGGCCTGATGAGCAAACCTGGCTTAATGCTGGTGCTGGTAGGGATGAAGCGGGAGGATGAGGTGACATGTGCCTGAGCAGCACTGAGTTGCGACATGAAAAGGACACTTTAAGAAATAGCAACAGGTTCATTAGCCAAATAACCAGAAAGAAAACAAGGCTGAGAGAAACAGGACAGCTGGGGATAGAGACTGCAGCTGATTCATACGTGGTCCAAAACCTGCTGGAGTCACATTCAGTGGTGATGATCATGTTGAACCTGGGGGCAAAGGCAGGACAGTGGATGGGAATGAGGGTCTGGGTGTGGAAACATGATTCACTACAGCTGATGTGCTTTGGTCGGGAAGATGCATGACGAACAGAGCCAAGGAGGTGATACTTCCCCTCTATCGGGCGCTGGTCAGACCACAGTTGGAGTGCTGCGTGCAATTCTGGGCGCCGCACTTCAAGAGGGATGCGGATAACCTGGAGAGGGTCCAGAGAAGGGCCACTCGTATGGTTAAGGGCTTGCAGACCAAGCCCTACGAGGAGAGACTGGGGCACCTGGACCTCTTCAGCCTCCGCAAGAGAAGGTTGAGAGGCGACCTTGTGGCTGCCTATAAGTTCATCACGGGGGCGCAGAAGGGAATTGGTGAGGTTTTATTCACCAAGGAGTCCCTGGGGGTTACAAGAAATAATGGCCACAAGCTAGCAGAGAACAGATTTAGACTAGACATTAGGAAGAACTTCTTCACAGTTCGAGTGGCCAAGGTCTGGAACGGGCTCCCAAGGGAGGTGGTGCTCTCCCCTACCCTGGGGGTCTTCAAGAGGAGGTTAGATAGGCATCTAGCTGGGGTCATCTAGCCCCAGCCCTCTTTCCTGCCTATGCAGGGGGTCGGACTCGATGATCTATTGAGGTCCCTTCCGACCCGAGCATCTATGAATCTATGAATAACCTCCACTCCAAGATCCAGAGAGAACTGGCAGGCCAGATCCCAGGTCTCGGGTCAAACTGGGGTGGTGTCACCTGACTGGGGAATAGTGAGCATAGTGCCTGTGTTTAAGGAGTGGTGAAAGATCCATGTGCCCAAGCTCAGGTGGTTTTCGAGAAGCTTTGCAAGCAAGAATACTCAGACATGGAGCTGTGGAGAACTGGGCCAAACGCAGCGCTGGCTTGCCAACCTGAAAGGGAACCAAGCTAAGTGGGAATCATTTGTATCAGGACAGAGGAAACACTGGACTTCAGTCCCCCATGGAAAATGACAGGTTAAACTGGTGAAGATGGAGACTAGGAGAACTGCGAGGTGAGGACAGACCTGGCTCGTAGTGGGTGATGCTGAAAGGGGAATGGCCAGGCCAAGGAGTGCCAATGCATGGAGCTGGGTGGATCTGTGGCGTTTTTGCTCATGATCCAACAGAGGCTTGGAGCATGCAGATGAGTGTGTGCATGGCCCATGGCTGGGGGGGGGCAAGGCCAGGACACAGTAGGA